TTTAATAAAAACTTTTTTAAAAAGTGGTGTACATACTTTTGTCATTATTATTCGTGAAACTGTCTCGAGATGTCACTGGAATTCATAATTATTTTCTAGTTAGGCCTAACTTGGCGTCTTATTGCAATGCACAATACTGCCAAAATTCAGCAAAATGGGCACAAAGATCTTTTACAAAGCTTTGACACCCTGCATCTTGAAAACTGAATTTTTTATATGAACTTTTCTATTTGGTTTAGAAACGTGCCTAGTAATTACTGCCCCTGCATACTGTACCATTTTGTTTGGAATAAGTATACACTTAAGCTGAAAATACATCGATATTAGAATAAAGATTTGCCCGAAAAGAGAACCATTTTTAAGGAACATGGTTTATTAATTCAAAATCGTGATTCTGAGAATTGTATAAAGTCTCTGGATAAGAATAAATTTTGTGCTTTTTCACCATTTATTGGAACTACCAATTTTCTTTAAAATTATCTATATCGAAATTGTCAATTTTAGTAGCTTCAATAGAACTTCGGTTTGATTTACTGAATCAAATGGTTTATACTAAATATAATTTAGAAGAACAGTTACTTTATTTCAAGTATTATTTTCAGAACGGGAAATACAGTTCGTATCAGTTTTTTGCAATTTGAACTTTATTGATTTTCTTCTTCGACCCACTTTGACAAAGGAACTTCTCTTGCCGGAATAGAGAGTAATATATTGCAAACTATACTTCGTTTAAAAGCTACTTCTCATTGATGTCCTATTGTATAAGTATAACGGACACATAAGTAAGGTGCATCCTCGAACATTTTCAATATACATTATTATACAAAATAAAATTCTACGAAAGTATGCGTATATGTACAAAATCATACTTTACAAAATAATTTAACGAAAATTTCTGAAAGGTGGAAACATTCTCCAGCATTCTGAATGCACATTAAAAAATATAAAAAACATGTAAAAAAATTGCACGAGACACTAACGCAGTTAATTTTGCGGAGATATGTTTCTACCATTACATTTTGCTTATGAATATATTGCACTGTAGATGTTGGATTGAAATTAATTTCTAATGGCAAAATAGCATGAAAAAATTAATGTTTAAAAGGTCGTATTCTCCGTAAGTTTTAATGTCCACTACATGAGCAAAGGATTAAAAAGCAAAGACAATAAGACCATTATTCGCTTATGCATGGAACTTAAAAGAATATGGCAATTCAAGCACTTTTCAATACGTGTGACAAAAGGAAAGTTATTCTCACGAAAAAATGAGTATACAAAATCTACGATAATTCGATGTGAAATTTGTACATTTTTAATTCATATAATTTATGTTATTGTTCTATATTTTGAATATAAATAAGTTGGTGGCAGAGCTAATACTAATGGAAAATCAGAATATTGAGTAAATTAAGTATTTCAAGATGACACGACGCACGTATAAAATAACAATTATGCGTTTCAAGGTTCCTAAAATCAACATTTTTTCTTTATAAGTAGTTTTTATAAATTTGGATGAATTATAGTTCAACAGTTCCTAAGTGAACCATGACAAAGTTAAAAACTGATTAAAAATGCAGAGTAGTTGAGAACTGAAACGTTAAAATTCAATACAGTTTGTTGGTGAAATACGAGTACTTGGCCAAAATGCAAGTGGTGATTTCTGGGGTAATTTTAATAGAAAAGTTTAAGTAATGTTCTGCAAACATGTTCCTCTTATTTATTTTTTAAATGGGTCAACAATCAAGTACAGTTTGGGATGATGGCATTGGTGCATAAATACTCTATTTTGTCGTCAAATTGGCCGTTAGAAATTTCAAAATTATGACTGAGCGCCATCTTGGATCTTTTTCAAACGGAATTCGAGGTCATGTAACACCTCATTTTAAAGTTTCTCACGTGTACTTTATAATTGTAGAATATAAGTTGACTATCCTTTAAAATGACGAAGTGGCAAAGTGTTAAAGTTGAGCAGTTTTGTTGATTAAATCGCTTATAGTTCAACATCTAATCGTCAAAACGTGATAGTATGTCATATCGATCTTCTTCTCCCCATATCAGAACAAGTTGACAAGAACCGTCAATCTTTGCTAGTAGTTATTGAGTTATTAAATGTACAAGAATTCTCAACTCTTAGTTAGGGCCGTATCGTCAGTCATTTCTACAATAATTGTAGGACGCCTTTATGGCCTCCTTAATTTTCATAGTTTTCTACTGCCCCGTGTCAGCGCTCTATTTTGAGGTTTGGTCACAAATATCTATTTGCATCAAATTGTTCATGCTTTTGATTTATATCATTTGTTTTATCAGCCCGAAATTTCCTACAATTCAAAAAGAAAACATAACTTCACAATAGGAGAGCGTTAACGCTGTCATGGAACAGTAGACATCTAGAAATACCCCAGCATTTCTGAAGGTGAGAAAAGACCAGTGGCGACGCGTGACTTTTCCTACACTGTTACCAAAACCAGTTGGGAAAAGTCTTATTAAAAAAAGTTTATTTTGAACCTCCCAAATATAAGTTTATATTTATTTTAGGTATTTTATTTAAACTATTTTTAAATCAAGGTTAACATTCCTGGTCTGAGTGTCTGGAGCACTTGATATACCTCATCGTCTTATGCTATGACTAATCCAAGCCGTCCGAAATAACAGTCAACGTTTCTAGATGTTCGGAAAATTTTTGATCCTTTTTGGCAATGTAATTTCCTCTATTTTCATAGTCATTCACTTCAAAATGAACGATAATTCCTGTTTTGCCAAAAAACATACAGTATCTAGACGTGTGCTGCCTAAAAGCTTGGTTAAGACAACTTTCGATTCTTTTTTTGCTAAACTGAATTAAATTGGCTACACATCTCACATGTAACGGAGAAATTTCAGGTCTCCTCTTTGGAGCCCTAAAACTATTTAAATCGTTGACTCCGCTGCTGGTCCACCTATTTTTTTCTGTATAAAATACAAGACATCGCCAACAATACAATGTTTTTCTCCAAGAGTTCCCGTAAACCAACTTAATTTAAAATATCAAACTACGTTTTTTTATTTCTTTTTAAAATTACCTAAAATAGGTGTTGGTCTTCCATTTTCAATGATCTCCTTTTTTTACTTAAAAATTATACAAGGAGAATGACGTTTCAAGTAGTTGATCGATTACGCAGCGACACTCATCCATGTTTAATTGCACGCACACTACAGCCAGTAATTAAAACGGCTACTAACGAGTGAGAAGTGAGTAATCAAATCAAAAAATGGTAACAAGCCCACATAATAGTCGCAGCGCCCCATGCACTCGGGCGACCGCGATCAGACACGAGCCGGCATCGACGGTCCCCGACGGACTACCATGTGTATTCATAAATGAAAATGGTAATAACCAACAACCAAGTCGAGGCGAGTCAGCTTCATTGTGTTCGCAAAACCTAGACACTATATGGCGCATTATTTTTGTGGGGCTAATTTGCTATTTACTGAATTACTATTACATATCGCTGTTGGTAAACAAATAAATGATATTATTTCACAGTACTTAGGCATAAAATATTTATTTTAAGATTTTTAACTGTTACCAATGGTAACAATGGTTACATAGACGCTTCGCCACTGGAAAAGACTATGAAAATCAAGAAGGCCATAAAGGCGTAGGAACGACTGACGATACGGCTCTTAGTCTGCCAGTTCCCCATTTTTAAAGATAGTGAATTTATACCCTGTGGTTACAAAGTTTGCTTGAGGGATGTACTATATATAGTGTCTTGTTTTTGGATTATAAACTTATACGCAGATTCAAAATCACATTACGCCCATCCACTATTTTGAAGCTTTCAACTGTAATTTTTACGAAAAAACTATCATCAATTTGGTCATCTCGAATCCAGCTTGCTAAATTGACCCTTTCAAAAAATAAGTTGGAAGAAACTTCTTTGAAAGGCATTATACTCGTACATGTATCCAGAAACGTACCATTACCAAGATACAAAGTTTGCCAGTGACGATAATAATTAAAGGCAAAATCTCAAAATTCATGAAATTATACTGAGGTGAGAAGAATTGTCTGTATTTTTAAAGCGTTAAACCGAAATTAAGTTTTTGATATGAATTTTAATTCAAATATTAAAAACTTTTCTTTCTCGAAAAGGATGGGTCTGACAAACGTCTGAGAGAGGGAGGGGGAGAGAGAGTATGTGTGTGTGAGAGAGTGTGTCAGATAATGAGAAAGATATTGCATGTAAGTTCCAATGCCTTATTCAAAGACGTAACAGATGATTCTAAAAGCCACGGCGTAGAATATATTTTTCTTCTACAGTTTCTACACCACTGGTGTATTTTGACCGCGAAAATTTTGTAGGTATTATTATGCTGTCATTAGTACATGTACCTAACCTTACGTAGGCAATCTGAGAATATTTTCTTCACCTTTTTCAAAATTATATCTTCAATGCCTTGTATCTCAGTAAGCTGGCAGTTTAGGATCCATGTCTTACGAGTCATCTAACGAATCATTCCTTCAGTTTGGCCAAATGCGCTATCAGTACCACGTATAATGAGACTGTTTTGTTAAACTGAGTTCATAAGAATATTTTTCAACAGAGCAATGAAATAATAATAGAAATATATAGAGATGTATAACACAGATTCAGTATGAATATATTGGAGAATCAGTGTAAGAAGGTAGCGAGAAGTAAGTAGCTTAAGCACAGTTCAGCCCAATTGGTCTGAATGTCGTATCCAGACCTAAGACATTATTTTAGACATGACATTGCCTTGCAGGATTCCAAAAGCTGAACACGCAAGCGCAATGCCATCTCTGAATAACACAATCAAACTGAAATTATACCAATAACTTTGGTATGTCCAATATCCCACCTTTAATCTAAACTATTTCTCTCATGTTTATATACAATTCTGTGATTTGATCAGGGTGTAGGAATCAAAATATTAGTATTTTGCAAAGATATGATCTCGGATAAAACTAGTATATAAGATAAGATCTTATTAAGCTTCAAGCGAATATCATTCACTTAATCTGGTACAAAATAATTTTACTGAATGTACTTCACATTTTTTATGAATTTTGGTATTTTGGCGAAACTTTCTTGGTCTCAAAATTTTAGGCCTGATTTAGCAACATAAGGTTGTAAACTCCTAATATATTCATTTCTCATCCTCAATGTGAATGTGGAGAGAGTTGCCAAGCCGACAATTAGTAAGGTTATCTTATTATGAACATCTCGGGTCATTATCAAACTTCTAGGAATATTATCATGTTATAAAACAGGGACAAGACAGTTCCTATTTTCAATATTCTACCAAAATAATTATTCCCATAAAAATATTTCAATAACATGATTTTACACAAAGTGTGAGGATGAGGAGTATCTATTGAGATACTATACATTTGCTTCGATCAAAACACTTCAAAATCTTTATGCCTGTTCGTCCTGTCAGAAAATCCCCGCTTTCTCGTCCCGCCCACACAAGCTGTTCTGATTGGCGTCGCACGTCTGCTGCTCCCTGACTCCGCCCATCATGAGTTTGGCTTGATGTTCCTGCGCTTTCTGCCGCAAGCAGGCTATTGAATTGTTTCTGAACACCTCCGGATCGTCCGCGTACGCTGTAGGCGGTGCTTGAGTGCCGGTAGGAGGTGCTGAAGTGGGCGTGACCTGACTGCAGGCCCCGCCCCCATCTTTGTCCGCGTGGCCGGAGGCGGCGCTAGTGTCGCTCACGTCCGTGCGCAGCGAAGTCGCGTCCTCGTGGTCACTGCCCGCTGTGCCGCTGTTGTCGTCCTTCAGGTGTTCGGCCGCCTCCAGAGACTTGCGGTGCATTCCTGGAACATGAGGAAGAGGGGGCGGTTCAGTCTCGGTCTTGTTTCACTAGAAACACAAAGAAAGATGAGCGAGGGTAGTGAATGGCATGGGCGGAGGAGAATATTGGTTTTGAGATAATGTTATTTTTCTAGCTCATCTGGCTAGTATTACAAAATTATTTTTTTCGTACTACAATAAATGCTATTGATCTAATCGGTGCGTTATGTGCTTAGAAATATTAGTCATTGCGCGGAGTGACAGACGAATCTGGAAAACTCTTTAAGTGAATCCTAGTAGTGATTGAAATACCTCTTTTCAAAGGTTTGTTTAATTGAATCCGATTAAATCGTAACGATAGGGATGACATTAGAGATAGAAATGTGCGCGTAGAACAGAAATGCACAAGACTCAAGTTCGATGTTCTTCCCAGATTACCTATTCAAAATAGGACGGTCTTCTTTGTGTTGGATTTTGACGATGTATGGCCAAAATGACTAAAACAAACATGTCTGAAACTACCAAACACAGGTAGGTACTACATTTCACTTGGCGCAAGCTCGACTTGTATGAGTAACTGAAAGGAAAAATTTCTACAAATACATTTTTCCATTGTCATGTTCATGTTTTTATGATCTATTTCAGTTTCGAGAAGTTTAAGGCTATATGAAAATGTCAAAAAGAAAAACTGGGGATACTTCGATAATGATACTAACCAAAAGACTGACGAAATCGGTAGTGCAATTTGCGCCCTATGCAAAACAATTGTTTGTGAAAAAATAGCGAACACATTAATTATGAAGTATCATCCTTCTAAATACTACAAAAATGATCATTAAATGATTCATGTAAACCCACGAATCAGACTAGGTAGAACGTGCGAGTCAAGGATTTGTTTCTCGCTTTTTCTCTTTCTAATCTATTCGAATTCGATGGGTACAATTGAAAACTGAAAATACCCGTAAAAAACCAACACACAATACAACTCTGCTGATATACATATCGATATTGACCGATCCCTACTTTTAATCTCGCTAAGCAAAATAGGATAATTCTAGCCAATCATATCAAAAAACTGACACGCAATTCGTGATTTAAGCCACCGATGTACCCCATTTTGCTCAATATTGCAGATAGACAAGCATTCTTGAAAATTTTCTTTAAACATTAAAAAAAATGCTAATCAGAACGAAAAACTGACACGCAATTCGTGATCTGAGCCACCGATGTACCCCATTTTGTCCAATATTGTATATGCGCAAGCATTATAGAAAATTTTCTTCAAACATTTAAGTTTCCTCTCGTAAAGTTCCTTTTTTCGTCTCCTATTGTTACAATCGAACTTAAACTCGGTACATGGAGTAATTGAGATAGCTGATTTTGAATATTACAAAAAAAAATAGTAAGCTGCCCGCAGTCCTATTTATGGTGAGAAAATGGAACTTCTGGAATTTCGCGTCAATTTCACGGGAAAACTCTCATCAAAGTTGTGATTTATGCTACCGAATAACCTAAATGGCTTATGGTTGAGATTGCCGATATGCAATCACTTTTAAAAATTTTTTGATACTCGATAAAGACGCTGAATTCGAATATGGCCATCAAAAAGTTCTAAAATGTCGCGAAGCCATATTTGGACTAGGGAAATAGGACTTTCAAGACCTATCATATCATATCCAATTTTGTAGAGTCAAAAGTTACTTTGAGAACTTCATAGTTACTGTATGTTTTTTAGTGGATATGTGAAACCTCGTGGAAAATAGAAGACGTGAAGCAAACGGTTCGTTGATACATCTTATTTATCTGATCCCAAAATCCAAAGTCTAAGACTAGGAAGACGTTTGAGCTACTTGGCTTAAGAACTGACTTTTGTCGAATCCACCCCTTTTTGGTCACTTTGAAGAATAAAGGAATTATCTTAACGTGCCCAAGAATCGTTTTTCAAGCGACCAATTATATTTTAACGCACAGATACTCCAAAATTGAGTTAGATGTTAGGGTTTGAAAAATTGTCTAGTTTTATAGGGGGAGCGAAAATCTAGGCATTCATTGGAGAAATTGTCCAACTCCATTTTTTCCATATCCACGTTTGTTGAACATGAATCAAAACGTTGCGTCAACCCGGTGCAAATACGCAGATTTTATTAGACAAATTACAAAAAAAAATGTTTCTTTTTGCTCGAGATAAAGCTTTTTTTTTTAGATATTTTGCATGATTCTGAATAAAGAGGTTCTTAGTGACTTGGCTGAAGTTGACCGTATACGAGTTAAAAACACCCGCTATTTTCAATTTAAAATAACTTGATAAAAATAATTATTTTTGAGGTTGCCAAATATAGAGATTAGAATTTGAACCTTACTGTACAAAAGTTTTGGGCTTAGCTTGTTTTGAAGCTTGGCAACCTCAAAAATAATTAATTTTTACAGGGATTTTAAGCATTCAAGGCGGCTTTGTAAGGGTTTTTCAGAATTCAAATCACCTATAGGTAACTCAAAATCGTTCAAATTTTCTGTTCAGAATTGTTCAGAAAAATTGGAACAAATCTTGTGCGGAGTGAAAAAGCCATTTTCTCTAAATTGTTTGTAAAAATTTGGACCGGGTTACCGTCTGGCAACGACTTGAATCAAAAAACGTGATTATGAAGAAAAAACGACTTGCAAAATTTCTTCCACGAATGCTAGGTTTTCGCCTCCTCTACGATATGGAACTACAAAATTTGTATGTATCTACGATCAGTAATCATTGTATAATTTTGAAAATTAAATTGTAACATCAGGTTATTCATAAAAGGAATAATACTTGAATACTGAGCGTATTCAGCACATTAGGCGTTGAACGTCGAGACTACTACACGGCAGCTACGGCGCTTCCACCACCAGTCAAATTCGGTGGCTACGAGTTCAGCCGAGTTTGCCGGTTCTAAATAGTAGGCTATGGAACGGATAACGCGGATAACGAACCTCCGGTGGCATAACACAATGGGTGTTTATTGTTACTTTGACGCTCCATTGCGATGATGCCGGTTGTACGACGATAAATTTCCTTCTGACACACATCCATGCCTTTCGCTGCTACATCCGCTAATCAACACGTGCTGCCTATATCAGTTGAGCTCATCCCGACGTAAATTTAACATTTCAATATGCCTTCTGTGAACCTACATTTGAGTTGTATCTGTCACGAAAGTCCATGTTTTTCATTAGTACGTCTCTTTGTATCTTTTATTACCTTTCTCTCACATTTGCCAAAGTTTTGTAGGTTTATGAAATGAATCCAGTGGCTGCGAACCTGCATGCCAAAACAAGAAAAAATCATAAAAATCGCTAAAAATGCGTTTTTTTAATATATTTGTATTCCGGAGACTTTTGCCGTTTTTCTGATATCTTTGAGGGGTATTAAATTGGAGGTGGGGGTTGCAGGGGGTGAAGAGTTGTAGAGGCATGGGATATACTAATTTTTTGGTGCTAGTGTGTGTACACATAGATTTCCCCTTCATTTGCCCCCAAGCCTCTACGAAGTTACAATAAACATGTCTGCAGCTGACCGCTGCCACTGGCGAGGATGATTTCGCGCAACTGTGACCGCAACCTGGACCAGCACGGAACTCACTGTTCTATCATATTCTACATATCAGCATGATTCTATTTTACGGGGTCTCAGTGAGTCCACAAAATCGACAAGTTGCTATGCTTTCCCTCGTTTCATTTCTTTAGACTCAGTCATATCGAATCATTACTGAATTCCATTCTCTGATTTGAGGTTAGGTGGCAAAAAAGACACACAATATTTACTAATAATTTAATTATAAAAATAGGGTTGTTAAACGAAACAATTTCACAAATCGCAAATCTTCAATGGAAAAAGAATCACTGTTTTCTCGCATCACCTTTCTTTCTAGGTTTTCCACTCTGGTTCCCACCAATCTATCTTCCACCTCCCCTTCCAGAAATTGAATTGCATTTAGCGCAAACATTAATGGAAAACTTTAGGTTATTTGGATATAAATCGAACTTACTTTGAACCCAAACATCCAAATATCCCAAAGCATAACTACACTAACCACAGAAACTAACAATTTGCTCTCATTTGACATTTGATGACTACAATTATCGGCTTATCATGGTGCAATTTTATTGAATTTGCCGAACATAGCCGAAGAGTAAGCTATATAGACACGGAGTGCCCAGATACCTAACTATCGACAACGAAAATGCAAATCTACAGTATATTCAGATAAGAGATAGACCGGACACAAACAAGACCACGTGATCATCGTACGCTGTAACATTCGGCAGGGACGTATTAAGAGTCACGCAGTACATATTTTAGATAGTAGATGCTGCTTTGCGTAACTTTGTAGTAAATTAGCACAATTCGATGTGTATACGATTGGTGATGGATATAGGATCATGTGGGGGTGGGGTAAGAAATATATAATGATGTAAATATACATAACGGTTTCAAAATTTTCGCTTCGATTTCCAGCTTCGGATGCCGCCTGATGTTTGGTGAAATACAGTCGAATATAATCTCAAAATGGCGTTTAAATTAGCCTAAATTAAAAATAATCGTATATCTCTTAAAATTGCTTTTAGAATATTGATTAGTATATTTTTTGATTTCTAGGTAAATATGTAACCAAATTAAAACGTTCAAAACGTAAAAAAATGTGCATGGTTGAACATTGTCAGAAAGTAGATTCTTGAATAGGTTTTGCCAAAATGGGTTCAAAAATGTCAATAATTAATTAAAAAATACAGTAGCTTTATAATTACTTATAACTTACCGAATTTGATGAACGACATCTTTTATTGGAAAGATGAGCTTGATGAGCTTTCATCATCGCTACTGCCTTAAGCACCAACGTCAATAATGAATGGCTCGACTTGTTCCTCTAAAATATTGTCCAGTTCCCACATTCTCTTTTCAACTTTGTCTTTCACGTGCTTAATACAGTTTTCCCATTTTTGCGCTGTTATTAATTCTAGTGCTTCTTTGAAAAGTCCTTTGAGGTCACAAAAT